CTTATGATCCTATCAGTCATCCCCCCTTCTTTGAGAGGATTCATCCTCGAATCTGCAGAGATTATAAACTTTTTATCTAAGGTCAATGAGGATAGATGACTTACTAGATCACCGATAGGGCACTTGGGTTGTTCTTAAATGAAGAAGCAACTTTTAATTAGGCCCACGGGTAGTAAGAGCACACGTGTGTGGCCCAAGCTCAGGCCCCGAAAAAACCTATCAGCATAAATTGGGTCCAACCCAAGCGACCCCATAAGCTCGTGCAACATACTCCTTTTTTAAAAAATCATTTAGGATTTCTTTTCTTCCTTTTTCCTACTTCTACAAAGTCTCCAAAATTGCAGCATAATTTATCTCATGTGATAAATATGATTAATTTAAAGGAAAAAGTCTCTTTAAGGTTGAAGTTCAAGTAAGATCAAGCTCTTGAAGACTTGGGTAAGAAAGACCAATTATTTTAATATTATTTAATATTATTTTATTATAAATTCTTATCCCTATGATTATTTAATTAATTAAATTAGGATAAGGATAAGAATTTTTATTATTTAATTTATTAGGTACTTTTTTTTTGAATTAAATTAGGAATTAGAATATGGATATGAATCTTAAATTCTATTCCATATGGAAGTAGTAATTAAGAGTCTATATAAAGGCCTTACCACAAGCATTGTAATCATATTTTTGAGAATTAATAAAAATCAAAGCTTTGAGTTTTTGGCTAAATTAGCCTAGTGCTAATTTTCTTTCTTTTTAATTTCTTCCAAGTTAGGTGAGCTTGTCAAAGTCTTGATTGAGCCAAGGAGTTGGGATCAACTTATTGGGTAAGTCGTGACGTTTTTTCTTTCCTTGTTTTTGTTTCCTTAGTTTTTGTTATTACTTTCTTAATTTTTAGGATTGTAATTTCAATTAGAGGAAGAGATTTTAATTAGGTTGTTTAAGTTTTGATATTGCATGCGATTGGGTAGAGGTTCCAGGAGTCAAACAATCCTTCTCATACCCTCCCATGTCAGGTGGTATCAGAGCTTAAGTGCTTAGTGAACGTGTTTATGTTAATTGCTTTAACATTTTTGTGAATAAATTAAAAATTCAAATTAAAATTTGTTTTGTTAATTTTTATTGCATCCCACTTTGAATTCATATCTATCTGTTTAATTTAACTAGTTTGTGTTTATGATAAAAAATATCTCAATTGCATACCATGAGACAATTAGCACATTGTTTGCATATTGGATTCAAAAGCAGAGTAACCGCCTAATAAGTGAGGTTGGAAAACTTTTGTGGATTTAAAGGCAGAGTACCTCACCCAATAGGTACGCATGAAAGCTTTTAGGTTTTCATTCCTTTTGCATCATTCATTTGTCTAAAGTAAAAAAAGGAAGATTAACTCACCCACTGTGAACAAAAACCTTTTATGCTTCACTTTTAATTGATCATTTTGTATCTTGGAATTTTGGCTTAAATATTGCATAAAAAACTTGACAACTCGTAGAGGGTAGCCGGTATTAAGTAATATAATTAGGACACACCTTCCGATTATATCCATTGGCATAATCGAATCCCTATGCAATAGAGTCCATCTAGTTTTATTTGCGACTGATGTTTCCATTATTTCATTATATTTTTGTTCCATTACACAGTGAGTAATCATTTCTAGGTACTTAGTGTATAAATAAAAGCACACTAATCATTCTTCTGTGTGCCTGGTTCGAGCTTTTGTAGAATTAGATTCCTTTAAGATTCCTTGTGTGTCAGGAAAGACTAATGTGCAGATCTGAACTAAAGCAAATCTAATTCTAAACGCTCAATTCGACAGAGAAAGCTATAGTTGAGAGATTGTGAGGTAAACATGAGCAAAGATAAGGGAGAGTTTATTTGCTCTCATTAACCTTTTTTTGCAGGAATCTTTCACAATGAGTTTTCCTGAAGAGCTTGCCGAACTCCGGCACGATATGCAAAAACTTCAACACCTTTTTGACGAAAGAAATGATTTAGTACAAGAGGCATTAAGGAATGAGATGATCTGGTCATGTAATGATGTAACGGAGAGCCTTCCTAGTCAAGAAAAGATTCATGCTCTCATAACAGTCGAGCACCTTATCACTAAAAATACAAAATAATGAGAAGAAGTCAACCATCAAGATGAATTATATGTAATTGATAACTCTTTTATTTTCAGTGATGATAGCTTGCATGATCCAAGAGGAAGTGTGACTCTAGTCATGAACCACATCAATGATGAAGTCAACAATCCAAGTAAGTATGGTATGATTTTTATTGTTATCACTAATCTTTTCCCCTGTGATAAAGGTCAAGATTTGAGGATGAATATTTTTGAAGAAAAAGGGGGATGATGTGATCTTGGATGGCCCAAATTTAATTCCAAAGATAAAATCTTGCATTAAGGAGGAATCCTCTGGAAATCTGGACTCTTGCAGAATAATTACCCGCGAGTTCACTGCAGTACGAGGTCACACTCATGCAACACAACAGGCGTTCACACATAGGTCCTATAAGTCTCGTCCTAAACAGGCAAGTAAGTCTAAAACCCTTTTGTTTCCTAAACAAGATTCGCTCAAATGGGAGAATAAGTTCTAGTTTCCTTAATGGGAATGCCTAGAACTTGAAAGTAATTTCATCCCATATTATTTTCTTAAATGGGATTATTCTAAAAGGTAGGCCAAGTTTACCCAAAGAGAGCTTAAGGCTTAGGTGATGGTTAATGGGCTTGAAGAAACTATAAGACAAAAAGAATGCCTAATTTTGGCCCAACCCGAGATGGCTTTAAGGGCATATGGCCAAAATGGGTTATGGCCCAAAAAGATCAAACCCAAAGACAAAAGGTTGGTCAAAGTCGCACCTTGGGAAGACCCGCACTTGTTGAAACATGCCACACACGTGCA